TATTTCTTAATTTTACATCGCTATATCTTTTCATATTTGGAGGGCACCTATCCCTGTTGGGTCTGTTGTAGTGTTTATTATAGGATTCTACTCTAGTCCACTAATTTTTCTTATTATTTTCTGGTGTCTTCCATTTAGTGGTGTCATATTGGTTATAACTGTCAATTCTTCTCCTTCTTTCATAACTATTGGGTTTGTATTGGTAGTTGGGTTTATTGATTTTTTTCATATCGATTATTTCCTGTTGATCTGTGGTAATTTCTAACCTTGTTATATTTGTAGTCATCCATATCCCTCTTGTATTTCCTATATTTGGCTTGTTTGACCTGTTCCTCTAATCTATTTAGTTTCTCTTTAGTTTGTTTTGTTAATTCTTCATAGTCCTTGGTTTCTATTGTGGGTTCTAATATTTTCTGTATTACGTTAACTTCTTTATCTAAATCAGTCACTCATTTCTGCATAGTATCACAATATTCATCATCTACATGGAGAATCTTTCAAGTGCATCATTCCACATCTTAACATATTTTTTTATTCTTGTCATTCTTGAAAGTGGGGGTTTTGGAAAATCTAAGACCTCTAGGGGTAGTGTTGTTTTACAGATATCTTTCCAAAGTAGCTATCTCCTATTTATATTTTATTTCTTTAGCTAAAATCTTTTCTAAATCCTTAAAAGTGACATCTGTATAATCATCATTATTGGAGATGTGTGTATTGTCATACTGTGCAGTACCGATATTATCAATCCAGATTTCATATTGTCTCGTTATTTCTCGTTAAAATTTTTAAATATTCATAGTAAGTTTGATTTTTTTCTTACTATTATCACCTCTTGCACTTGGTATTCATAGGCACTTTATTGTATTTATTACATACATAATAAAGCACTTTAAAAGTGCACTGTCACTAGCACTGTGTGCACTTTAGTACTCACTATATATCTTAAAGATATAGTTCACCTTTTTTATTTTTGATATTATACAGGTTATGTTTGGCCAGACATGCAGAGAAAGATTCAGGCTTTTTTTAAATCTAGGATCGATTCTAGATCCTTTCATTAATTTTTTTATGCATGTTGTAATTGCCTATGCAGTTCATATCGCCCTCCACTATCAGAAGACCCTTTCAAATGTTTTCAGCTTTTTCAATGGAAGAATTTATTAACCTTATTGGATATTCCGAGGAAGCATATAGATTCACCATAGCATACAAAATATAATTTATCAGACATATCAATGCAATATATTTACCTTGCTGGTCATCCCTTCATGATGTATATATTCAAATTTGTGCCTATTTATTATAATTAAAGCCACACCCTTTTTTATCTTTCGAATAAGATACATAAATGTTGAGGATATTTACGATATTTCCACCTTTTTTCTTGTTGAAATTTCCAATGTGTCCCCTGTATAAAAGCTACGTCTATGTTATCTTCTATCAATAAATAATATAGATAGGACATATGGAACTTTCACCACCCTCTTATCGGCAAGAAAAAATGATGGATCAACTGGATGAACCTCTTTACATGACAAAAACATTAACCACAACATACAATCCCACTCAACAATCATCAATCCCATTTCATAATGACAGGGTATCTAAACCTAACTCGTAAAGATGAGAAAAATAACCCCAAACCATTGGGGAGTTTAGTCACAATTGCAACTTTCAGAGGTGAAGGTATAGAGAGAATTACACAGGGAGAAAATAACTAAAAGATAAATAAATAAATTGATTCATATATTTAAATTTGTACAACATCAAATAAGAAGAAAAACTTAAATCCCGTTCAAAATTTCATTTCTGCCTCAGATTGTAGTGGTCCCGTTAAGTTCTTCAGATTCAATAGTATACAAATTGATAGCTTTCCTTTAAAATATTATTATAATATTAAAATGCAGAGTTAATTATTTTTAAATGTTAAAAAGGAGAGAAAGAGAGCTGCAGATGGAAGAGGGGGGAGGGAAAGTATATAATAAACCATTGATCATACAAAATTTCTTTATGTTTTAAATTTAAGAAAAATCATGTACTTAGTAACATATATCCATGAATATGGATAGAGGGGAGAAAAAAACAATTTTTAGCAGTATTCTCAATATACATCAGTGTTTCATTATTCTATTTTAGCTGCCGTAGTTTCAAAATTATAATAGTGGGAACATATTTCCCTTTTCCTCCCCCTTTTTCCGCTTATCCTTTTTTTCTTCTTAACTTCCCCTTTCATTTTCTTTTTCCCATCTTTCCCCATCTTTTTTACAATATAATTCAAAAATTATTAAAGTACAAGTTTCAGATTTTCAGATATTCCTTAATTTTCTTGTTAATCGGTCTTGTATCATCCATAGAGGAAAGAAGAGAAAGGAAGATATTTTATACCCATTTAAAAAAGTGCAATTTTCAGGTATAAACATATAATTTTTCACTGTGATTTATTACTTCTCTAATATCATCTATTTTGTGTTTGTGTTTTCATTTTCACTTCGCCTTTTTTGTGGGACTCATTCCTACAGTGCAAAAAAAAGTTTCATATAAGTGCTTCAGTTTAAAAATAATACAGTTAGGAACATTATTTCTAATTTCTTCTCTCTTTTTTACTTCTTTTCCTACATTTTTACAATATTATTAAAACATTATTAAAGTATTAAAGTGTGAATTTTACTTATTCATTAAGTATTTTGTCTATTAGTGCTATTTAGTGCTACTCATCCCTGCAAAATTTGAAAAAGCGGAAAGATATTTTATACTCATTAATTCTATTCTGTATATTAAAAGTGTATCCTTTAATTTCTATCATGTGATTACATCTTTTTCTTACCCCTTCACTCTTTTCCTCCATCCCCTCCCCTTCCCTTCCTCCTCCATCCTCCCCCCTCAATGCATAATACATACTATGGCCATTTATCTCTATCATCCCTAAAAATAAAAATAAAAATAAGTTCTTCACAGGGTTGGGTTACCCCTGTAGATTCTATGTGCGGAAAAAAGCTCTTCATTAATCTTTGCCCGAAACTTTAGGTTCTCCATCTTTTTGCCAGAGTCCCCATGAACATCAATTTCTCTTTTGCTTGTGCAGCTTCTGAACATACATGATTTCTGTCCTTATATAGAATTCTCAACTTTATAGGGGAGCCCCAGGAGTAGGTTATGCGATTATCTCTAAGACATCTGATACAATCGCTGAACTTTTTTCTACTTTGATGTGTCTCAGCCGAAATATCAGCGAATGTCATTAGATTTACAAATTTTGGATTTGTGGTATGGTTTTTCCTCCATTCTTTTTAAAATATTTATTTTATCCTTGTGTTGTTAAATCGGATTAGGACATCCATGGGAACATTTGAATGTGTTAAAAAAAGCTGGTTTTGGCAATCTGTGGGCTCTTTCAATGGGAGATGGTCCAGAGAGCTTTGAGTCAATATATAGTGCAAGCATTTCAATATGGATAGAGGTCTAGAATGTCTTCCGTAATTCCCTTTATCTTTAGATTTTGTCTGTGTGCGCTATCTTCTTGATCTATCATTCTTTCTCGTAGCTTAGATATCATGTGGTGGCAGCATCAAGTTGTGCTTGTAGATCATTGCTATTCATTTCAATCTATTCTATATAATGAGATTGTGAGGCAATGGTAGATTTTCATTGGGAGAGATCTCTCTTATATTCAGCTATATTTTTATCTAAATCTCCCTTGATTGTATGGTAAAGAGCTTCTAAAGCTATATTTAAAGTTTATTGTGAGATATAGTTTTTTGGTTTAGGGGTAGTCGTTTCGAGTGTTTGGTTTAGGGAGGACTTAGCCGATAATATTGACTCATCAGCTTTACTTTTTGGTGAATAAAAGGCACTTATTTGTTGCCTCTTAATCGAGTTATCTGGTTTACTTGTTTTTTTGGACTTTCCATCCCTTTCCAACGTATCTCCTTTTAAAGGCATAATTCCTTGTATTTCTCTTTAGTTGTTAGACTTTTAGAGAGATCTCTCAGGCTTGTTTTCATTTTTTTTTAATATATATATATATATAGTTTTTCCTTTTTAAAATTTATTTTGTTTTCTCTTTTTTCTTCTTTTTTTAATATTTTTGTTGTAGCATATCTGAGTTATACATACACGTATAGGCGCTGTACACTACTTTTTAAGTGCATTATTAAAGTAAAAGGAACAGTGTCACAAATATAAACATCAGAAACATTGCAGAATGTCACTTTATACCTGTCTAGCTAAATTTATGCTAGGGATATCTGCACTTTATGGTATAAACTACTCATGAACTTAGGGTTAAATCGCTGTAGTTGGCAGGTTAAGAGAGACCCCTAGAGAGGAATGTGTGCCTTGTGAGAACAAGCACTGTGGTGCGATAAAATAACATAATAAATTTAGTTCAAAATGATTATATTGGGGGCCATCTCTAGCTCTTGCAGATCAACATCATTTGGTACAGTGTGTGGTTGCATGCCACCACAAAAGGCCCGCTTCAGGTATCTGAGGGCAGCAGTGTCAGTAAAATGGCCGGATGCAATTCACGTCCCATTTTGGGGTAGGAGATTCGGTGGAAGTGGTCGCTTCGAGCTTCTGTATGTTATCTGGTACTGGCAGGTTCAGTGCCTTGAAAAAGCATTCCGCTTCCAAGGTCAGCTTTCATCCCGGTCCCCGGCGATATCTGATGCCTTTATCTCTCAACATCTTCGTGACCATGTTTAAGGAGTGTCTCCAGAGCATCATAGGTCTGGAAAGATCATTAAAGAAGGAAAGGTCTGAGCCTTTAAAGTGATAAGTAGGTGTGTCATTGCTGCAAGCTTGTAGAAGCTGTTTGCTTTGAAGCAGCTGGGAACTCGGCAACAGGTCCCGTGGCACGCCGGCAGGAGCTTTGGGTGACTTAGGGACCCTGTAGTAGCGGTCAAAAAGTATGGCTTGGGCCTTGGAAGGTAAGAGCATAGTGCTTAATAGCCTTCAAAGAACTTTGCGGATCCTTAGATTGCACTGCTGCTTTGAGACCTTCAGCACAGCTTTTTGCCCTCCCTAGTGAGGGTGATCTGCTTCAACCAGTCTATGTCAGTAGACAGGTCTTCCTGTTTTACTCTGGTGATGCTCCCCTTGTCATCCAAGGACTGCAGTCTGGCAGTTAGAGTCCCCATGCCTTGGCGGACTAGCATAATGAAGTTTGAGAAGTAGGACTTCATCTCCGTCAGCATGTTCTTGATGTCCACCTTACTGGCAGGCATGTTCTCTGTGCAAAGCACAGGGCTAGCACACTTGGGCACCAAAGCTGCCTCCATGTAAGAAGATCTCTTGTGGGGTATGCCACGACCTGCTGAGTCCGGAGAGTCTTCTTGTACACTCTCCTCCGAGCCGTATTCTGCGTCGTCCTGCACTGGCGCCATATTAGAAGGCCGTAGCAGCGGCATACCTCAGAGCAAATTACCAATATCTTTGGTGGAGGATGCCTTGTCACTTTTGCAGAGTTTCGATTTCTTCCCCATCACTTCGGGCTAGTTTTGAGTAAGTTTGGGGTTCTGTAGTTTTAGGCAGGTTTGTATTTAGTAAATCTCTCTCGGGAGCTTTCAGCATGTGTGTCCGTTTAGGTCAGTGGCTGTCTCCTCCCCCCTTCTCTTTTTTTTTTTAAATCCTTTTTCTCTATTTTTTCTGCCCTTTCCCCCTTTTTTCTCTTGTTTTTCTTTTCTCTTCACTTTCTCTTTCCTCCTCCCTCCATTTTTCACCATATAGTTGATATCCTCTTTTCCTATGTTTATACTAAGGTTTTAAAGCTTTTCTTTTTCTTTCCTTTTCTCTCGTTTCCTTCTCTTTTTCCTTCCTTCCCTTTTACTTATTTATTTATTTTTCCTTCCCTCTTGCTCTTTATGCCCCTTTATGCCACTTTAATTTTCAATACAGTTAGACTATTGTCAAGTCTTTTATGACCCAAGCCTCTGAGCTCCCACACCTTCCCCAGCGAACATTTATCTGTTGTTTGCCCAGTATCTGTTTCTGTATACACTCGTCTCCCCCAGCACTTCCATGTGTCTCTCCATCTCCCACTGCGGTGCTGGAACCGACCACAGTGCCCAGAACGTGTTGGATTCTTTGCTGGCTCTACGAGTGTTGTGCCGTGGTACTCTGTGACCCGGGTATTGCCATTGCTCGTGTCGAGTGTATTGCTTACTTTTCCACTCTAGTGCATAGACTTTCCTTCCCTCCGC